ACTACGCAAACTTTAACTGAAGCAATGCGATTGCGATTCCCCACCAGAGTCATGAAAGTTTTCCAGCTTCAGAACACAACAAATCGTACTCTTCTGCTTTCTTCTAGAATTCCCCCGGTCTGAAACTTCTCGCGATCTACCGAACCTTGAGACAGTAGTCGATACACTATCGTCGGACATGGTCCAGAAGAGGCAGGTCTCCTAGTCCCGCAAAATCGAACCGTGAGAGAGTCATGCATTTAGCTGCTACACTACACTCTCGCAGAGGTCCGACTCGACCTCGATCTTCCGGATCAGCAACGCGATGCTGTTCACAGCTGAAAAGAGGATTTGTACTGCGATGTGCCGTGTCTGGTGTCTCTGTAACAAGATCTACAACCACAACAACGTACTTACGCACATCACTGACCCAAAAACTAGGAGGTTTGGCAAGCGCAGCCTCGAACAGCCAACAGGACTTATCCCTGCTCAAGAGCTCCATTCAATTGCACTCCAGGAAACGCTCCAGAAGCTGCGCAAAAATAGCTAGAACAAGGTCTTCCAGGACTATGCCTTTTTCGAGTGTTGATTACTATTTCCAATTGTCAGGCCCCATGCAAGACGCCCCCCTCTGTGACTGTCACGAACAGTATCACTGATACCAGTCTTGGGCTTATCCACCCCGCTGCCACGTTTCGAGAAGGGGAACAAGAAGCCAAACGTGGGCTAGATATTAATAACAACGAACTATGGGGACTTGCGGACGAGCGATGGTCCCCCCGCTGCCTATTTACACATACGATACGAGAACAGGCTCAGTCGAGCTGCGCGAGTCAACAGCAGCACGTCGGCGCATAATAAAAAGCATTGAATAGTTTGGCAAATGCCTCAATAGCAAGGAGTCGCATTAGGCTGACATGATTACCCTAGATCTCGCCCCTTTTTGTATTGCGATCACCAACTGATCTACGACCTCAAGGGCTCTGAACACAATTACCGTATCGAGGCAAGTCTGAGGACGGTGTTCAATGTGTCCTGCGCTTCCAGATTAGGTACTGTTAAGGTGCAGCCCACCCTGAGCGATCATTCGGGATCTGCCCGAATTTCTGGCTGATGTTCGTGCCGATGCAGTGGTTGTGGTCGCTTAAATATCCGCATAGGGGTAAGCTGATCTGGAGCCCCAGGACCCACCAGGACAGACGATGAAGCATTCGGAGCATCAGATTTTATACCTACCTGTCCCCTTTCTTGACATCTTGGTGTGCGTTGCTGCCATGCAACATCAGAAATAGCAGATAGGTGACGCAGGTGTCAAATCTCTGGCCTCTATTTGACCCAGGGAAATCGAAGTATCGGTTATCGCGCGACAGGAATTAAGACACCCACAGCTATGCTAACCCAGGTACACAGCCAGGATGGCCTTAGCATCACTAACTATCATCTTTCAACGCTCGAAGGAACAATACCCTTGACTCAAATTCCGATTAACATACAAGCAAACAATTCAGCTGTTGGGACCCGGACGCATGTCAGCATAGTCCAACGTGCATCCATGCACACCATTGCTGACCTGCCCAGCTTGCCGCTTACGGTTTCGCGTGGCGCTTCTAGCTAGACTTCAATGGGGTATGAAGACACAGAAAAAGCAATGAACTTCATTACACGGTCCTATTTAACCTATGGTCAATCGGTGACAGTTACACCGCCACGACCCAATATTATTTTGTGGTATGGATGTCGTGGTGAGATTCTGTCTTCTTGCTTTTTTCCATGCTCCCGTCACTGGGGCCAAAATGTCAAGGCGGGATCTGCCTCGACGATGCCAACAGAAAACGATGTCGGAGGATGTTGGAGCATGGACAAGGTTCTTTTTCATAGATAAGCATACCTTGTCATTCGAGTATATGGTCGAAGACGACTGGGATCATGCTGGCAAGGGTACAACGCTCAGCACCTATTCAACAGAAAACATGCATGTTGCGATAGCTCTAGAGTGGCTATACTTTTTATCTTGCGAACAGTGGCACAGATCAAGTCTAGATTACTGACCACTTAAGCAGCCAGAGGTGAAGTATTTGAATGGTGATCATGGTGTTCTGTAGTCCCATGCACAGACGGTGTGTCCCCGGGTGATAAAACTTTTTATATCGAGGTTATCGAGGCCGAGTTACGGAGTCACGAGCGGTCGATCTGGAGATAGATCCTGAGCCACAGCCACAAAATCTCCGTTGGCTTCACCTCATATTTTCTAAAGGTTTACCATCACCCAGAGACAGTTCTGTGGTTTCGACTCCGCCAGCCCGAAGTCACTTTAGCTTCAATGTTTACCCGCACTCAAGGGAGGAGTTCGGGGCTAACATAGTCCGATGCTGCCAAGGCTCCGGCGGTGACGCCCGGAGTGATGGAGTTGACCGCGACAAGTCATGGGAAGGATGGCGGGTATGACTGAATAGCTGCTCAGATTCTATTAGGATATGACTCCTGAACTAATCACCATGGAATTCGTGTTCAGAGGGGAAAAGAAGTAGTTACCGGTATAGTACAACTACAGTTGTAGTACCTCAACACTCTACAATCAATCGCCCGAGTCGCTCGGAGCAGTTTGCTCGGTTTGCAACGGCTACACCGGACGGCCTCTAAGGGATGCTTATCTAATCCGTGCCTGCCGAATTCCGCCTAGTCGCAGGGGAAAGTTTGTTCCCAACATATCCGGGTTGTTGAAAGATAACAGCAGCACTGCTCTCCCTCTGTTCACCTTCATCAGCATCTCGCTGTCCTCCGCTGCCTCTCATCCATCATGTTGTTCCGTGCTGCGGCCCGTCAAGCCGCCCCCTTGAGGCGTCAGGCTTTTGCCCCCGTTGCCCGTCGCTCCGTCACCACCGACGCTGCCTCGGCGCATGCTGAGAACGTCCCTCAGGTAAGACGCGCCTCCCAGCGAACCGATGGGACCTCAATGCTTCGTCCCCATTCCCAATCTCAAAATCTTCATCCAGCTAACTGTTCCTGTAGGAGGATGACAAGCCCTTCACTGTCCGTCTCTCCGACGAGAGCTTCGAGACCTACGAGATCGACCCCCCTCCCTACACTCTGGAGATCACCAAGAAGGAGCTGAAGCAGATGTACTACGACATGGTTGCCATGAGGTATGCTGCTACCGGTGCTCTCTCAATCTCTCGCATCAGTCCCCTTATTAACGAGATTGGAATAGACGCATGGAAATGGCCGCCGACCGTCTGTACAAGGAGAAGAAGATCAGAGGTTTCTGCCACTTGTCCACCGGTCAGGAAGCCGTCGCCACCGGTATCGAGCACGCTATCTCCCGCGACGACAAGATCATTACCGCCTACCGTTGCCACGGTTTCGCCATGATGCGCGGTGGTACCGTCCGCTCCATCATTGGTGAGCTGCTCGGTCGCCGTGAGGGTATCGCCTACGGCAAGGGTGGTTCCATGCACATGTTCGCCCCCAACTTCTACGGCGGTAACGGTATCGTCGGTGCCCAGGTCCCCGTCGGTGCCGGTCTGGCGTTCGCCCAGCAGTACAACAACCAGAAGGCCACCAGTATCATCCTGTACGGTGATGGTGCCTCCAACCAGGGCCAGGTCTTCGAGGCCTTCAACATGGCCAAGCTGTGGAACTTGCCCGCCCTGTTCGGTTGTGAGAGTATGTTTTGCCTTTCCCTTTAACAGAAGTACAGCTAAAATACTAACAATTGGCCCCTAGACAACAAGTACGGCATGGGTACCTCCGCCGCCCGCTCCTCCGCCCTGACCGAGTACTACAAGCGCGGTCAGTACATCCCCGGTATCAAGGTCAACGGCATGGACGTCCTGGCCACCAAGGCCGCCGTCAAGTACGGCAAGGAGTACGCCACCTCCGGCAACGGACCCCTCGTCTTCGAGTACGTCACCTACCGCTACGGTGGTCACTCCATGTCCGACCCCGGTACCACCTACCGCAGCCGTGAGGAGATCCAGCGCATGCGCAGCACCCACGATCCCATCGCCGGCCTCAAGCAGAAGATCCTCGACTGGAGCGTCTGCACCGAGGAGGAGCTCAAGGCCCTGGACAAGGCCGCCCGCACCCACGTCGACTCCGAGGTCGCTATCGCCGAGAAGATGCCCGTTCCCGACAGCAACTCCCGCATCCTCTTCGAGGATATCTACGTCCGTGGCAGCGAGCCCCGCTGGATGAGAGGCCGCACTGTCGACGAGACTTTCTACTACTAGAAAGTTCTTTTTTCTCCGTCTTCAGTTTAGCCATTGGAGGAGGACAGAAAGTTCAGAGGAGAGAGAGAGGAAGAGAAAGAGATGTCCGCTGGTGACGAAAGAAATACTCCAAGGATGATGGTGTTAGCGTGATGGGGGAATGACCCAGAAAAAAACAGAAACAAGATCGGCATTCCCGCTACGATTCTTGTTTTGGCTTTTTCTCTTTCTGACACAAAGCATCTTAAAACCCTCCCACACAATCTCACTCATACACAAAGCTCTCATGGAACGGTTGTTATCAAACTATGTAATTTAGCCGGGAATTATCATTATTTTTTTTATTGTTGCTTTTTGACTTCATTTATTCGTGCTTCGCTGGGGGCCTGCCTTCCTTTCCTGCGTGCTATACTATACCTACCATGTTCTAGGTATTTGGAGGCAATATAGACTGTGATGTTTCGTACTTTGATCTTGGTTTGGTGAGTGAGGCCTCATGACGAGATATAGAGCTTCTGAGAGGACGTTTCTTTGGTGAACCATCCAGTGGGATTAAATATATATTTCAGGTATCTTGGATGGGTAAGGTAATATAGGCATATATAGGAGGAAATGCAGGAGAAGCAAGGAAACCGGAGTAACGAATAAAAACGCTGGCCGAGCAAAATCAAACAGACAGCACTGCTCTAGACCAGTGGGTATCATATGCAAACATATCACGATGTAGAAGAAGACAAAACAAGGGAGTATATAGGGTATGAATATGACGTAAATGGGGAATGGGAAAGGGAGCGAAACAAGAGGAAAAGCAAGTCAAGACGGCTCCTGTCTCAACATCTCCAAGATCATCTCCTGCGTCCGTTGCACCGAGTCCAGCTTCTCCTCGAGACTCGCGCGGTCCTTGGCCAGCTCGGACCGCATCTCCTCACGCATCTCCTCGCGGAGTTCGGCTTTGAGCTTGGCGATGAGGTGAGTTGGGATCGGAAGGGAGGAGACTTGGGACATCTTTGGGGCTTGGGTGGGCGAGGGGGGGTCGTCGGGGTCCGAGCTGGTGTCGGATTGTGATTGGGATGGTTGTTGTTGTTGTTGTTGCTGCTGCTGCGCTATGGCGGCGGCGGTGGTGGTGGTGGCAGCGCGTGAGCGGCTTTCGGTCGTTTTGAGGGGCTTGAAAGTGGTTTGTAGGGTGCTGGTGGGATTGGCAGCGTCGAGGTGACGGTTGAGTTTGCCCAACGTCTCTAGAACAGCACTCATCATCGACGACGACTCTGCGTTACCCGCCTCGCCTCCGGAAGGGGTGCTGTTCAGTTGTTGTAGAGCGAGGGACCCATCCAGAGACGGTCGGCCTCCGGATGAGCCGCCTAGCATAGTCGCTGGGGCTGGAGTCGGGGTGTGGTACTGGGACTGCGGCTGACTGGCGAACATATTATCGAATCCGGGGGGTAGACGGACTTTGGTGTGCTGGGGCGTGGAGGCGGGCGGCGTTGAGAGCGCTTGCTGCGACGGTGTTGGGAGCTGCGCAGCAGCACCACCAACGTTCACCAGTGGACTTCCGCTGCCACTCACACTCCCCGTCGCTCTCCAAGCCCCCAAGCTAGGACTGACCCTGTCATTGTTGCCGTTCACCCAAACTTCCCACTCTCTGTCCTTTCTCTTCCTCGGCCTCCTCGAGTCCCTCTTCTCGATCCGCCTCGCCTCAGCCTCCTCCCACCTTTGCCACGTGGGAATCCACGCATCCACAGCAGCCCTCCATCTGAGATTCGACCGATCATCGCTCTCACTGCCCCCTCTCTCGCGCTGCTCGTCCAGAAACTTCATGCGTTGTTTGGTCACTAGTTCCACCTTGCGACGGACCGAGTGCCACGAGTACGGATGTCCCTGGTCGCGCGTGAACTCCTCCGTGACCGTCATCCACCACTTGCACAAATTACTGCGCTGACCAAACTCGTGAGCATGGCGATTGCAGATGTCGAAGAGCGAGACTTCCTCGAGGGTGGTCAGGCGCTTCCCGTGTTTGCGGGGCCCTTCACGGTCGCCGGAGATGTTTAGGGAGTTGTCGGCACTGTCGTTGCCTGCGGCGGTAGCATCGAGGTCGAGGTCATCGCGATCATCAATGAGAATGGTAGTAGCTGTAGTGCCAGATCGGGTTGTTGTCGCATTACTGTTGGGGATGGGTCCGTCTCGCTGGCTATTGGAAGGAGTAGTGGTAGTGGTGCTGTTGGCGGTTCCGCCATTACCCCCACCTACAGGATGATGGCCATGGCGGCGCTGTTGCTGCTGCTGCTGCTGCTGTGCGCGAGCATGTGAACGCGCACGTGCGATTGTGTTCGCGCCCATCCCATCGGAAGAAATGTAATCCTGGTCTCCCAACGCGTCCGCAGTGGTGATATGTCGTACACTGCAATCAGAGGTATCGAAATCACTCTCTTCGCTCGATATGGAGACAGCTTGCTGTTGTTTTTGGTGTCGCTGTTTTTTCTTTTGTTGTTGCTGCTGTTGCTGTTGACGTGCATCAATGACCATAGGAACAGGCTGTTGTTGTTGTTGTTGCCGAGAAAGTGAGTGGGGTTGCGAATGGTGCTGGTGCTGGTGCTGTGTATCGAGTGCAGTAGGCTGCGGCGTCGGCTGTGGTCGTATGCGCAAATTCGTGGACAAGTTAGGGAGCGTTGCATGCTGTGGGTTGGCTCGCGCGGAAATCATCGAGGGAAGCCATGGCATCTGGGGCATCTGAAGGGCCGCGGCAGAGGTACTTGGAGGAGCAGCAGTGGGTGTTATAGTGGTCGAGGTCGAGTCAATGCGCGGATTTGAGGCGGCCGCGGCGGCTGGGGCGGCGGCGTTCGCGGTGTGATGGGGAAGATGTGGGAGGTGTTGGTGTTGGTGTCGGTGCTGCTGCTGCTGATGAGGATGAGGATGCGTTCGATGACCAGTACTGGTAGTGGCAGTTGAACCATGCCAGGGATACATGGACATGATTTTTAGTGAAGCGTTCCAAGTCTCCCAGAAGTGGTGAGAGGGGGAGAAAGAAGGAAAGAGGGAGAAGGAGAGGGAGAGGGAGAGGGAGTGGAAGAGGGAGTGAAGAGTGAGAGAGTGAGAGTGGGCGTGAGAATGATGGTGAACCGTGGACAGCAACTGCGGCGGGCGGAGAACTTTAAGCTAATAGTACTAATAGTAATTAATTCACTCTCTCACTATTCAGTAAATTAATAAAGCCATTATTGATAGAGTCGCCAAGCCAAAAACCAAAAACCCTTGGTCTCGTTACGCCCCTCTGAAAAATTCGACCCAAATGTCTGCAATTTCAAGTCATTGCAGCCGGTTGGGTTGGTCTAGAGCCCCGCGGTGGAGGTGGTCAGTTAGCATGTTATCTATCGCACTCGGTGTTTTTTCCAGGGGCTGCCGGTATCTTTAACTACCTCATAGTTCAGAGTGATTGTCAGACAGCGTCTCGCTTCTTCGCATTAAATAGGCACAAGCGATTCGCCATGTCTTCAAGAGGATAAAGAATAGATACTCAAGAGTATATTCGTATCGATGATGTACAGTACAGTGGGATCCTCTAGCTCCGAATACCCTGGCTACTTCATTGACTTTTGCCCTCTCCCCTGGTGATCGAGGGGAAACAACAAACCATAAAAAAAGGAAAGAAAAAGGGAATACACTGTAGATAAGCACCCAAGATGCAAGGGAACCAAAGAAAAAAAAAAGAAACCAATCCGACACATCGAATAATCAGACACCCAGTAATACATGAAGACTGTGGAACAGGCCCGCAGAACGGAGAGAAAACAGAGAAGAGAGAAGAGAGAATACAGATGATTGAATTGAAACCCACGTGAAATGCACCTACCGCCGTCTCAAGTACCACACAAACGCCGGGTTGTTGACCATGTCGCCGAATGGCGTCGGCACCTCACCGAAGCCAGGACGAGCCACGGGGTGTCGCAGATACACAGCAGCGCAAATGTTGTGATTGACCTCCAAGTAACGGGGGATCGTGGCGAACGCACTCATGTAGTCACGCGGCCTCCAGGGGGTGGCATAGGGCTTGGTGCTATCCACCGGGTTGTCGCGCATCTGGACGAGCGCCCGGCGCAGCACCTCGAACTCCTCGTCCGAGAGTTCCGATGTGTCCACCTCTTTCTCCGGGTTCTGGATGGCCTGACGGAACGCCTCAGACAGCTGGGTAGTGATGGGGCCGTTCTCGCCTGCCTTCGGGGTAGCAGCCTTGGACTCGGACTTCTCGGTAGCAGACCCCTCAGTCTTAGCCTCCACCTCCGTCTTTTCTGCCTTCTGATTCTCCTCCTCGCCCTCCTTCGTTTCGGTCTCCTCCTTCTTCGCCTTCACGGGCTTCTTCTCGGCGCGCTTGGCCTTGAGAAGGGTCGTCAGCTCGGAGAACTGCTCCTCGAGGTTGGCAGTCAAAACCGTGCTGTTTCCAGAGCGGGACAGCACCCGACGAACGGCTCTCTGAAATCCACGCAGATCCTGCTTGCGCTTGGCCGGGAGCACGTCCTTGCTGCTATTCATGATGGCCTTAGCCTGAGCCATGAGCGCCTTGAGGGTCTCGCGGGGGGCTTCCACCGGCGCCGATTCCGCCTTGGTCGCCTCCTCAGAAGTCGAGCCCTCCTCCGCGGCTTCCTCCGCAGCCTCCTCGGCCTTCTTGGCCTCCTCGGCCGCCTTCTTGCGGGCCACTCGGGTCTGTCGTCGTTCCACCTTGTCTTTGGGCGCACCGGTGGCGTACATGACGCGCTCGGGTTCAACCTGGAACATATCGCCGGGGTTGAGCAGGTAGCCGGGGAATCTCATCTGCCATTGCGCGAAACCTTATTAGTATTCTTCCAATGCGATGACCCAGATAGAGCCCCCCCGAAGATCAGAAAAAGAGCACGAGAAAGAAACCTACCGGCTTGCCATTGACCTTGACGGCACCGTGTACCACAAACTGCCGGGCCTGTCTCGCGCTGCTCGCAAACATGGCACGGAAAATAGCCGTGTCGAGGCGACGCTCCAACGGGGCGAACGTCATTTGAACGTAAGGCGTTGTTCTCTCGCCCGTGTAAGACGCCCGAGACACCCGAGGCTTCTTGACAGACCCGGCATCCCCCTCATGCACCTTGAATTCCTCCATCTCTTCCCGTGGCGGGGCCTGCGTCAGACCGGACCCACGACCGGCCGACATAGCGGAACCGTCATCTCGGGCCAAATTGCTGGGGGCCATGGGCACGACGCTGCGCAAGCGGGGGGAGAACATGCGCTGCCATTGCTTCTCGGAGACCTGTTCCCCGTGGTAGGCGCGAGCGGCGGCCTTGGCCTTCCATTTCTGCTGGAAGAAGGTGGCGTTTGGGCGGTAGACATCCCTCAGCCGACTGAGGTTATACAGGTTATATTTGCTCCATGATTGCCGGATTTTCTGAACGGGAAGAAGATATTAGAGGAGGACTCGAGGAGGAGAGAGAGGAAAGCAATGGGAAGTATCAATTGAAGGGCATACCGGTGTCTTCAAGGGTGTAGTAGCCCTGTTCCTCATGATGGCGGCGGCGAGCTTTTGGAGAGAGGGGTGGGTGGTGCGTGGGTTGCTTGCTCCTCTGCTGCTGCTGCTGCTGCTGCTGTCTTTCTCTCCCGGAACTATCGCCGGCGGCCAAAACTTCGCTGCCGCGAGAGCACGTGATCTGGCAAGCACATGATTTGGAGACTAGGTACGTAGGTACTAGTTATGGCCTGAGCGCTGAGGCATACATGGTCCCCCAGCTGGCAAGCGTCATGATTGGCTAGAGGCAAGCTCGCTTGCGAGTAGCGCGGACTCACCGCCCCGTTGCCGCGTATATAATCTGCCTTTCCCCGTCGCCCATTTAGACTCTTTTCTTCTTTCTTTTCTTCATACTTACCTTGTTTGGGTGGCTGCGATCAAGAAGGCGGTCCACCACGGATTGGTCCCTGCATTGCACAGCGCGGAGGAACAATCCGTTCAACGGCCTTCGGGTCATTGACAGGCGTATTCTTTGGCACTCTTCCTTCGGGATATCTTTCTTTTCATCATCGCTTCGCCATGTGCGGGGTTATGGAGAAGAGATGTCCGTACACCTAGGCTAAATCTTCATAAACAAACCGTACTCCCCATACACCTGTATCTTGAGAAATGCTGTCTCTTCACCGTGTTCTCACTCTAGCTCGAATGGTCCCTCCCTACGCAGCTACGCAGGTTAATGGGTACGCCTGCCGAGTTTACATTGTGATATATACTTGCTTTCATTTATTCGTCACGCATTATGCTTTAAACTCGGCCTTGTACATCACATCACTCTACATCCCGATTGGCGTTGGGAAAAGCCTCCAGCAGCGCCTCTGCTTCCTGCGGATTGACCGCATCATCGAGGATTTCATGTGCCATCTCCACCGTGTCATCCGTTATCCCCGCTTCCAGTACCAACCCTTCACTGAACGCCAGCCGGGTCAAGACAACCAGGAACTTTTGCTTTCCGCCCGCCACGCGACACAACTTGGCCTGCAGGTCCACCTGCTCACGGTGCCGCTGCATCACCCCGTACACAAGCCTCATCAACCCATTGATCATTGACGCGTGGAGATCCTTTTCGGGCGGTAGGGTATATAACGCGTGCACCTCATCGTGCATGGCCCGGATCAGTCGTGCGAGCACAGTGGGATGAGACGCCAGGATCAAGCTACCGTGAGTGCTCTCCGGCGCCTGAGAGTTGAACGCCACCGACGTGAGGAAGGACAAAGCCTCCCGCCGCATATCGCAAATCTCATATGGCAGATACGGATCTTGCCCTTCATCCAGCTGTGGAGTCTCGCTTAGCAGGTTCGCAACGCGGTCAACAATGTAGTTTTCGTTGGCGATCTGGTCCTGCTCGGTATTTTGGATGGACCCGAACGAGCCTTCTCGAATGCTCGTCGACAGCAGGCTAAGCATCAAGCTGATATCTCTTAGCGGCTGCGAGCAGTTCAACATCATCAAAACAAAGTCGTACCGCATGCAACGCCAGAAACTCGTCATCTCCCGCTCCACATGCATGCGTCGGCAGGCCAGTTGGAACAGAAGACTCAATGCTTCGGTCGAATCTACTAATGGTTCCAACTGCGACAACGGGGTTTTCCGTACCTGGCCAAGGTTTTGTCGAGACACAGGAGAATGTTTGAAGCGGGGCACCCCGTTGACATCCCCGGACTCCTGTAGGATGGGTATCAAGTGCTCAATCAAGTCCGGATCGTATGATGGCACGTCGATCGAGATCAGGAACCCCATGATTGACATGAACATTGGGATGGGGAGATAGTACTTCTCGCTCAATGCGCGGCCCCATAATGAGATGATGGCCCGCCCATATTCCACCATATAGTTGCCAAAGTCAAGCTTGGCCGTCTCACCCAGTAAGATCGTAGATAACATCTGCTGGGGATCGGAGGGGAAAGCCAGCCCAGCCATGACTTCAATGTCCGGCTTTCCATCCGCAACTGTCCGATGATTCAAGATACGCTTCACGATGCTGCTGTCGTAGCTCCTGACAAAAGGAACAGATTGTTCGGGAAGGACATCCACCATTGCATCGTCGGACAAGTCTTCCGCTGCTTCGTCCGGCAGAGGCTTTGCCTGCGGACTCAAATGCAATGGCGTGGGACTGTCCTGACTGAGCTTCCTCTTTCTCTTCCCAGGCACAGTTGGTGTAGTGCGCTTCGACTTCACCGACTTAGTAGGCGAAATAGCGAGAATCTCATCATCGTCAAACCCGTCTCGGAAAGGTAGGACCCTGGTCTTCTTGGGGGTCACCGGCGGTGCTTTTTCCTCCGTCCGAGGCTTTGCCTTCAATTGGTTGATGCGCATCGCTTCCTCGGCCAAATCCTGTTTGAGGAAGGCGTTCTCCGTAGCGAGCATCTTGCCCTCTGCACGCGCAGCCTCAACCTCTTCTCTGTGCCTGGCGGCCTGCTCGGCCATGGCCTTGCGCAGTGCCGTCATCTGTCGATCATAGTCCTGGGTGACCTTGGCTTGGTTGGCTCGAATGATGGCAATCTCACCGGTTTTCGTTTCCACGATCGATTTGGCTGCCGTCAGCTCTTCTAGTAACTGCTTATAACGTTCATTCTCCATCGCCAGCTATTTCATCGATTAGTTCTGTAGGCGTGCAGTCTCCGATCACCTCTCCCTAGCATTACCTTCTCGCTCAGTTCCGCATGAGTCCTGTGCAGCTCAGCGTATTGAGAGGACCCTCCTACCCCCTCAATCTCCATTGGATCGGGCAGATATCCATACTCGTCCTCCGCCTCGGCTCGTATGTTACCATGTTCAACGTGAGGATGCGGCTCATTGTGATGGGCAGGTGTAGCAAAGACAGAGGCTTGCTGGAGCGCATCATCCGGTTGAATGGCAATACCATTGTCCAGGACTTCCGCGTCGAGCTCGCCTATGTCCCAGTCGTCATAATCGTTGGTCAAACCAGAGTGTAAACGCGGAGGGGGTTGTAAAGTCGCATTGGAAGGCTTGAGATTATCTCCGGAGATAGTTTGATGATCGGAGCGGATATAAGGGCGAGTAGAGACCGTCAACTCAGGCAGGGGCTGTTGTTGTTGGGTAGCTGGGGCTTGAGTGGCACGGTAGGCATTTTGTTCGAGTTGGTAGAGGGTGCCCGGTGGCAGGTCGTCGAAGCCATCGTCGGAGAAGAAATCATCGTCGTTTTCTTCCATGCCCAGCGATGGACGATCGCCATGAGATGCACGTCCTGATTGCGAGAGGGGAGGTAATTTAGTAGATGTGTTGAGTGTATAATAGACCGATCAATTAGCGAATAAAGAGATGATGAATGCGGGAGAGAAAGGAAGAAAAAAAAAGTAACTTGGTTAGCAGTAGTTAGTAAGTGCGGTACACGAGTGGTAGTTGACTGACGTCGACGGGGGTTTAGGCGCGTAATCAAGAATTCCCGCCGGCTCAACTCCTTCTCTCCCTCCCTCGATCTTTCTCCTCTCCTCCTCCTCCTCCTCCTCCTCCTCTATCTCCACCTCTTGCTGACCAAAAAAACTTCCCTGCTATCGCCTCGGACTTTTTGTGTTGTCGACTCTTTTTGTGGAACAGTCAGTCACCTAGGTGATCTCTCAGGCTTGCAATCAGATCAGACCACAAGCCACCTTGATCCTAATTGCTTGAGGCTCACGTCTACCTGTTGTCTTCATTCCTCGGTCGCCAGTTCACATGAATTTTCCCTAGGAACGACGATCATTGCTGCTTCACCCTTTTTCTTTTGTGCTCTGGCATCTCTGCTACCCTATCCCCCTTTTCTCTTCAGCTTTTCTCTTTTGATCAGTTCCACCCTTGCTTGGTTCGGCCCCTTCCGAACCTTTTTCTCAGCTCCCAAGCTCTCGCCAGCTTCTCCTTCCGGCCCCGCGCGCTCCTCAACCCAAGCAGCCGCTCAGTTCCGCTTTCCCCCCGTCTGTACATACATACTCTTCCACCATGTCTAAGACCCGTCGAAACGTCAGATTTCCACACAGGATGTCGAATGCCTCGGAAGGTCGTCGGTCCAGTATCTCGGAGGCCAGCGACATCCTGTCTGACCCGGGAAGTCCGTCCAAAGACGGCACCGTTGCGAAGCCGGCCACAATTCCGGAAGAGGTGAGCAGCGCACCACCATCTGCACAACCAAACAGACTTGCTGACCACGCGCAATCAGAAATCCGAAAAGTCCCAGTTATCCGACTATGAAAAGAAGAAGCAGACCTTCATTACGCGCACGATATGGACCTTTGTCATGATCTTCGGTTTCTTCGTCGTCCTATTCTCCGGTCACATCTACATTCTCGGTATCGTCACCGCCGTTCAGATCGTTTCGTTCAAGGAAGTTATTGCGATCGCCAATGTGCCCAGTAAAGAGAAGAACCTTGGCTTCACAAAGTCGCTGAACTGGTATTTTCTGGCGACTACGATGTACTTCTTGTATGGAGAGAGCGTTATCTATTATTTTAAGCATATCCTCTTGGTCGACAAGGTCCTGCTCCCTTTGGCGAATCACCACCGATTCATCAGCTTCATGCTCTATGTCATGGGTAAGTCATGTTCAAGATTCTAATGGTATCTTTACTGATTGGTCAGGATTCGTTTTCTTCGTCGCATCCTTGAAAAAGGGACACTATCGGTTCCAGTTCACTCAGTTCGCATGGACACATATGGCCTTGTACCTCATTGTTGTTCAAGCCCACTTCGTCATGAACAACGTCCTGGAGGGAATGATCTGGTTCTTCCTTCCCGCCTCTTTGGTCATTGTTAACGACATCTTCGCTTATGTCTGCGGTATCACGTTTGGTCGGACCCAGCTAATCCAGCTGTCGCCCAAGAAGACTGTTGAAGGTTTTATCGGCGCATGGATCTGCACCATCATCTTCGGTTTCTTCATCACCAACATTCTCATGCGCTACAAGTACTTCATCTGCCCCGTCAATGATCTCGGATCGAACGTGTTGACCGGCCTCGAGTGCACTCCCAACCCGGTCTTTGTCCCTGAGCCGTATTCGTTCCCGGAGTGGACCGGTGTCAACAAGACGTTCTACATCGAGCCTATGCAGTTCCACCTCATGGTATTTGCGACCTTCGCTTCTCTCATTGCCCCGTTCGGCGGTTTCTTCGCCTCTGGTCTGAAGCGGACTTTCAAGATCAAGGACTTCGGTGAATCGATTCCCGGCCACGGCGGCATCACCGATCGGATGGATTGCCAGTTCATTATGGGATTCTTCTCCTACATGTACTACCACAGCTTCATTGCCGTTTACAAGGCCAGTGTTGGGGACATCATCGAGGCCGCCATCACCGGCCTCACTGTCGAGGAACAGCTCGAGGTTGTCCGTGGCCTTGGCAAGTATTTGTACAACCAAGGAACTGTTTCTGAAACGGTATGTTATGCGCATTTTGCCTTGATTACCAGTGTGCTGATACGTTTGCAGATCTTGGAGTGCCTGAACACTGAGCTTAAGCGCCGCTAGAGCGTCACAAAATTCTATGATGACCTATTCTTGTTCCGAGACCTTTCTCCGTGATGAAGTCCTCTTTCCTTCTTTCCTTCCGACGTATCGGAGGGTTACCCTCTTACAACTCACGATCAAAATATGCTTTTTATAATCTACCCTTTTTTCTCATCATCCCGAGCGCAACCCGTTCGACGGACTTACTTGACCGGAATTGCTAGGCTCGTCTACAACATCCGGGCTCTCTTTGACATGTGCATGTACCTCTCGCTCTTGCAGCATTACCATACCATCGAAAAGGCTCGGGACACCTCTCGGGCGAATGAGAAGGACACGATGAGATAAATCGACCGGAAGCGAGGGAAGGAGGTGTGACAGACGAACCGTCGTCTAGCACCTTACCGTATCAATGAGTGGGCTTTGTCGTTCTTTTATCTTCCAAACCCTTCTTCTGAGTTTGACGGCAACGGGATGAGCATGTCTCAGTAGGTAGACGTCTTTTATATTGTAAAAATGTGGATATATAGCAAAATTTTGCTGGGTACTTCTGTTCTTGGGCTGTAATTGTGGTTAACTATGGCTTCCACATCTGATTACTAAGTGATTTTTTCTGTCTGATGAGGAACAAAAATGATCGTGCCGTCGTTGCTTTGCAACATGATATCCGGACTTTTGGGTGACAAACATGAGGGTAATCAAGGCATATACAACATGCCATTCAATACAATCTTCATTCTCTTGTGTCTATCATAACAATCGTGATGAGGTGCTTGTGGTGTATGCCGCGCCTGGGGCAACTGCAGTATGAGCTTAGATCGGCCGGGTTGGTTTCTGCTGTCATGCCTTCGCCTTCACTCCCGCCTGGCCGACTCATTGTAACTCCTCCACTTGCCCTTTCGAGGATTATCGGTTGCTTGGACCGAGACGACTCGTGGGATGACGCAGACCCTATCTTCGTCCTCTCATGATCGGGGGTTATTAGCATGGCCCTGGCCCAAGTCACCCCACACCTGATCTCTCTATGGGAGATATGAGTAGAGCATGGGCTCTTCGAAGCGTAGTCACTAGCATAGCAGGTTCCAGCGCATACACCCAGGGATGACCGAACCGCATCATTGGATGACGGATGGGGTGCCCCATGGCATGACAATGAAGATTATGGGCAATCAGGAGCAGCGGCGATAGCAGCAAGCCATAGACTCCCAACCTTCCCGCCAATCCCAGCTGCATCTGAATCTGTCCCTGCGGATCTCTCCTGCACCCATAACCATCCCGCTATGCCATATATCAACAGCCCTTCCGTCATCCAGAGATCCAAAATAAACCCAACACATCCAAAAAAAGTCTTACATAAATAGTTTGAGAAGAAAGTCTGGAGGGCTTTTCACTCCTCAACTTCATACTCCTCGACCTCCACCCGGAAATATTCCTCGACGCGGGCCCTCTCCCCCTCCGCGCGGTCGGGCTCCAACATGAACCGCACCGCGTACTTTTCGCCGGCGCGGGGGCGGTCCCCGTTCGCGGCGACAGGGGTAAGCGGGTGGGTGGGTTTGACTGCGGCGTTGGCGTTGACGTTGTTGTTGGCGGCGCTGCCATTGTGACTGTTATTTGGGTGACCACCACTCGTGCCATTCGTGTAGGCCTTGCTGCCCTTGGGACCGCGTGGAGGCGCTTTGGGCTTCGCGTCGACCCAGTGCGTGTACCGGGGGAGTTTCTTCTCCTCCGCCTCGGAGTTGAGCGGGATGCGGACGGTCAGGAAGCGGTCCGCGGGGAAGTGCGGGCCCACGGTGGTGGAGGCGCGGTTGTGGGTGTAGAGTTCTAGGACGTCGAGGAGGGTTTCTACCAGTTTTGGGTTAGTCAATGCGTCTTCCATCAGTGAAGACAAGTAAACCCTCTGATTTCAGATCGGAATGAGGGAGGAAGAAGAATCACGAACCCATAACCTCCTCCCGACTCGTCTGCCAATCCTCGTAGTCCACCCCCTGTTCAACTTCGGGGATACGCTGGTCCAACAACCGGCCCGCCAGTTCCAGAGCGCTGAACGCCATGGTCGAGGTGGTCTGCTTGATGGGCGCGTAGGTGCGATACAGATCCTGCGCGATGCGGTAGGCGACGGTCGAGACCTCCGACTGCGAGGTCAGCCCGTACTTGCGCGCCAGCTTGACGAGAGTCTTCTGCGGGTGGCGCGTGCGGAAGTCGAAGCCGGAGGATTCGAGCATCAGGCGCTCGAGGCCGATTATGCCCCGGGCGGGGATGTCGAAGGCCTGTTTTTGGGTTGGTCAGTCTGGAATGCAAGACTTGTGTAGTTGATTGAGAGTGAAGAAAGGTTGCAAAGGATCTGGACTTGGTGAGATAAAGGGGCATGCTACCTGGTTGTCGGGAGCCACGTGCTCATGAGGTGGCAGCTTGAGGTTATACGCTGCACAGACGATCTCACGGGATCGCTTGAGCGTGTCTTCGACCTTGCAGGCCGTGAAGAGAGCGGCGGTAGCGGCATCCTGGGAACATTCGTTAGTACTGTCCTAATGCTGGGACAGAAGGATTGAGGACTTACTGTGTAATTGTACTCGTTATCTGGATGAACGAGTCGGAACTTGTGGTAGTACACCACCGCCGTGTTGAAGGTGCGGATTGGGCTATGCATGACATGTTAAATTTCTTGATTTTCTGTATTGAAATATGGTCGAGGGATAGACATACAGAAACAGGTTGCGTCGTACACTGTCAATCCATGTTACTCCCTGTAGACGGAGGGACTCCTCGCGCAGGGGGTTGACTCCCATGGCGGCAATACATTGCTGGATGGTCTGCTCGAAGATGTACGGCTTGGCGACCTGAATGAATGAAGGATGGATGGGCGGCGGGTCTGGGGCCACTGTGGTGTCGGGTGAGGTAGACGAATGCGCCTCTTCTCTTCTGTCAGGCGCCATCTTGATTTGATCTAGATGCGGTCGCATGCACTGCTCTTTAGCAGAATAGATGATGGCTGATGGTTGTGGTTTTAAGCTGGGGAGTGGGAAGTCCCATCCCATTCGATGATTGGTGTAATCCTTCATCGCCAGCCCGTGATCAGGTGATCAATTGAAATGCTTGTGCATATGCTGACTAAGGGGTGGGTTAATACATGCATAACATCCTGCTCTCCCCGACAAGATAAGGTGTGAATGTGTCAATTCGAAAAACTTTGGTAAGAGCTGGTGAATAAAGAAGGCTCTCAAGAAAAAGAACAAGTCCACTGCTTTTAAGCACCCCGTACACTTTTACCTCTAAGGTGATGGCAAGATAAACACACAATATTTATATGATTTCTAGTATACTCAAGTCTCTCAAATGCTAGACGAAAAGGAATCATAGCTCGCAATCAATCGATGTCGTCCACAATCCCCATTGTTGACTTGACACCTAATGATCCACGATGGCCTATCTATCTAACTTGTAGGATAAACAGCTAAGCAAATATACTTGACTCCAAGCTCGGCTTTATTTACCAAGAGCCAGGAATACTCAATCGACTTAATTCATTCATGCATGCTATTCATCACTCCATACAAAATCTGGTATCCTGCGCCAAGTCACATTGCCATCCTTGCTAAAACTGAATAACCCTCAAGCCAGAATGGATAATCAAATATAAACGGAAAAAAAAATGAAATAGGTAGACGTGGAAGAAGGGGGTGGGGGCATAGCGGGGTTTCGGGTATCACAAATCAGTAAAAAAAGAGAGGGACAACATAAACGCAAATAGGAAAGGGGGGTAGAGAGGATAGAAGCGCTGCATATACATTGTCTCGGGGACATCGGGAGCGAGAGTGGGAAGCACTAGGGCATTCGATCATACCAGCACGTAGGGATGCTCGCTACCCACTAGGGTTGATTCGCCCGTATCATCCTCAGAACAATCGGGATTCATGTCCTCGATGATGGTACCTACACTGTCGCAGCGCTCGGCTTCGTCCCCGAGGGTTAACTTCTTGGGACGGAGCTTGCCGTCGTCATCGAACCAGAAGGCACCGAAAGGGTTCTTGCGCGCTAGGTCTAGAGCTGTTGTGCCGCCGCCGCCGCCGCCGCCGCCACCACCGCCTCCTCCCCTTTCACCGCTGCCAGTGGTAGTGGCGGTATTAGTACTGGAACCATTGCTGCCGTTGCTGCCGTTGCTGCCGTTGCTGCCGTTGCTGCCGTTGCTGCCGTTGGAGTCATTGGCGTGCTTAGTGATTTCAGGGGCTTCGAGAGCAAGATCAGCACCGGCGTCAATGAGGATTCGGAAAAGAGACTCGCGGCCGCGCTCGGCGGCAAGATGAAGGGCGGTCTTGCCGTCGGCAGTCATGGCGTTGATGTCGGCACCCAGGTCGAGGAGAAGGTGAATGAGGGCGGGGCGGGGAATGATGGCCATAGCGGCGAGGTGAAGAGGGGTCTCGATACCAGCTGAGGCGGCCCGGGCGTTGACGTCAGCACCATGAGCAAGGAGGAGACGGAGATATTCGGCAGCCTTAGGAAAGGCGAAGTCCGGCACTCCCGTGGCGACGTGCACAGCCTGATGGACGGGCATCCAGCCTTGACTGGACACGGTGCAGACGTCACGGCCGAACTCCAGGGTCAGCTTGAGAATGTCTAGGCATTCCTCGTTGATGGGAGGCGCGATGTGCAAGATCGTCTCTCCCTTCGGTGTTTGCACGTTCATGTCCGCTCCGCGGTCTAGCAGGAAGAGGAACATCGCTCGGTTGCCCGCCCGCGCTGCGCACTGCAGCGGCGTGTAGCCCTGCGAGGTGCGCGCCTCGACGTTGGCCCCCAGATCGAGCAGCTTTGACGCGATCGCCGTGTTGGCCGACTTGCGCGCCTGCTCGTGCAGCAGCGTCTCGCCCTCTTTGTTCCATGCGTTCAAATCTGCCCCACCGATGACGAGCAGATCAAAGGCTATCCAGTGTTTCGCATGCGCCGCCAACTGGAGCGCTGTGAATCCAGCAAGGGAGCGCGCCTCCACCTGCGCACAGCGCTGAAGAAGCAGAGAAATTGCCTCACAGTTGTCAATCTTGGCTGCCAGTTGGAGCGGTGTGATTCCGAGCTCGTTGGTCATATCGATGGAGGCACCCTTGTCAAGGAGGAAGAGAATGATACGAGGCCGCCGCCAGCGCACGGCCAGGTGGAGAGCTGTATCTCCTGTGTGGATGTTACGGAGGTTGACATCAACTCTGTTTTTCACGAGTAGGGGGATGGTAGATTCGTCGTATTCGGTGCCTACGGCCACTTGAAGGGCCGTTGCGCCCTGTTCGTTTGCAATCTGGGTGTTGATGCGTCGGTTGAAGAGCACCTTCATGACCTTGCGATGCCCGTGAAGTGTTGCAAGGTGCAAAGCGGAGCTTCCATCTCGAGTCACCGCATTGATGTCAGCTCCGTGTTCAAGCAGAAGCTCGACCATCTCTTCGTTTCCACGATAGGCGGCGCAGTGCAGCGGCGTCAACTTCAGAGAGTTGTCATTGGCGTCCACTGCAGCGCCCTGGACGATTAGACGTTCAGCCCTGGGGACAATGCCAAAGAAGGCCAAGATGTGGAGACCACTCCAGTCTTTTGGATACTTGCCCAGCCCAAACACGCTAGGGGGACCTTGTTCTGGAGCTGTTTCTTGTATCGGGGGCCGTCTCCACAAAAGCTTATTGAGAAAGGTCTTCGTCAACACCTGGATTGTCTGCTCATCATCGGCCATCTCACGCGCATGGTGACCCCAATATGTTGCGGCGTAGTTAAGGAAACCACTCTTGATGGTGCGAGGCGTAGCTCCGTTGTTGTAATAGCAGTCATCTACCACCTCGTCTGGTGTGATGGCTGTTAAGCAGACCTCTGCAATGTCCTTCTGCGCCGTAGGGAAGAAGACCCGAGCGGCCGTCCCATTCAGGTATCCCTTGGCCGTCTGGTGGACGAAGCGCACGGTCCCTGTTACAGCGTCGACTGTCAGGATGCCAGCGGTTTTCGTCTGTAGTGTGTGCTCAAAGGTCTGAGTTTCACTCTTGCTGTTGCCCGCCGGGGTGTTGGTTGCACATTTAAGCTCCGCAACAGTCAAAGGCCGAAGTGCATACAGCGTCCAGTACACATAGCGAGCAGCCATCGGATTCAGACTCACGACCTGTTTCAGTGCTTCTCCATAAGCCTCGCTCAAACTTTCCGGCAGATGTGCAACCGCTCTCTCTAGGAGACTTCTACTTTCATAGCGTGAAAGGAGGTCGAGGTGAATCTTGGCTAGAAGGAAGCTGGACATGCAGGACAAGTCAGCCCTCTGATCATGCGTTTGACATGTTCGAAGGGTTTGAGGCGCAGCTTTGGTTACTCACATTCCATGACACTTCTCAACGACGGTGCAGATGACCTCGTCCTGCCAGTTAGGGTCTGATTCCTCTTCCAACAACGCTTTCAGCCGCGGGTCTTGCTGGATGCGCGAGATAGCATACATCTGCAGATCCCCCGGTGCTCCCAGGATGTTGACGAAGGAGGAGTTAGCCATTTCAGACACCTCTCGTAGGGTGACCAGGAGTTGTGCTTGCTCTGGGAGCTTCTTGAGCCGGCCAAGAATGCGCTCCTTATCAGAGATTAGATCCAGTCCATCAATGATGATGAAGACCTTTGAGAACCGATTGACTTCTGCCCGAATAGCACTCTGATATGCTTTAGGGGAGGCTGAGCCTTTTGCTAGAGACTCGGAGTAGTAGAGAGAAGAGGTTGCGTAAGAGAGACTCCGTTTTCGGTAGACCAACTGAGCTAGGATGCTGCGGAGTATATCGAGAGAGGTCTGCTCCTTTGCCCTCTCTTCCTGACAGAAAATGAATACTGTTGCGATATCGGGTGACGTAAATGCTCTCTGAAGTGAATCGACTATAGCGGATCTATACACCATGTTAGTTTTACTATGCACTGTGGAGCCTCCAGAGGCAGGCATACGCGAGAAAGGTCTTTCCGGCGCCAGCTATATTCGTAATCGCAGGTATCAGCGAGGCATCTTGTGGTTTCATTTCAATTCACGCAAGGCTCACCTGGACCGACGCAAAACAACGTCTTGAAAGAACCAAGTAGCCAGCGCCTATACTGACCGTGATCGAAGATCCAGCGGCATGATTCGCGCAGCCGCCTATTGCATAAGTCTGCGAGCGTGATGAACTGGTTTGAGCATAGTTGGCTTGTGAGTCCCAAGGCATCTTCTGCAAATTGGAGATCAATTGTAGGTCCTACAAACGTTAATATCAACGAAACACGCTTCATCGCACGTATGATCTACATACCACAGTCTATATCACGAGCCATCTTAAGTGTATATCTTATATCTTGATCCAGTAACGTGCGATCTCTGAACCCCGAACAATGAAAAATTAATAGGATGACCCTAGAGTCAAACATGGACACAGGACATGGGCGGACTCACTCCGAGTCTGGCTGCATCGCGAGCAACATGACGATCTTATACTGTTCCAAGCGAGGCAGAAATGTCTTCTCTAGCAAATGCTTGCGGAAGTAAGCAACATTGACCCCGCCGGGCTGGAAGTACAGCTCGATGGATTTGACCGTGGAGTCGAACCAGCCGAGCATCTCCGCCAGGGAATTGAGTCGGGCAGGGTCGACATGCCATTTTTCCTCTTCCCAGCTGATCTGACTTTGAATACGGTAAAGAAGATCCAGGATGTCAGACAGGAGAGTCAGTGCTTTTTGAGAGGTTTCCTGCGAGTCTCGGCCCGAGTTAAGGCATCGCATGGCGATGCGGGTAGCCTGGGTAGTCTGGGTGAGACCCGCACGAAGCGTTGCGATCTGGACCATAATGGCGTTTGCGGATGCTTGCGAGTGGGGATGTGCTGTAAAATCTTCAGGTGGTATATTTGCCCCCACTCCAGCTTTGCTGCTTCAGTTACAAGGACTATTCACACACAATTGTGGCTGGAAGGTAGCATGGGTAAGAAAATGTGCTGAAGCTGACGAAAATGAGAACAGACAAGATGACCTGCACTTGAACACGTGCAGCAAACACCGCTTCCACTGGGCTCAGGGACACAACACTGGACAGGAAGAGCTGGGATCATAAATGTGAAGAGAGAAGAAAACTAGGAAAAGAGGTGTTGGGAAGGCTGCCCAGATGGTTTTGTTGTTCTAACGCTTAATCCAGACAAGAAAGGCGAACCCACATACTTTGTACTAATATCAAAGCTAAGAAGCCCGATCTCATTCCGGCACCCCGGCAATATTAGCTCAGTGGGCCATCCTGTACAGAACCCCCCTTGTACAGGCGTGTAAACCAATAGATTCTGTGCTACAGGCAGACAGCATATCGATAGCCGCTGGCTGGGCCAGGGTCAGCGACAACCCGCTAGGTATCCATTTGCCTTGCACCAGAGCGTCTACACGCACTGATGACTGATCATTTGAACGCCCTATCGCACGGTTCACCTCTGTGATCTTTATGTCTACAGGTATTTGCGAAGAAGATTCCTCATCGCCAGTGTAGTCCCTGATTGCGACTTTCATGCCGGTCGATGCATGCTATAGAAAGCCCAGCAGTCTATGGTATGATGAAATCACACTACGGAGTACATCCCATGTATTTCAGGCACCTCCGCCTGGTCTAGGGCGATTGTGATTCCCAACCCCCCAAGCAAGACTAAGTCTCGGGTGCAGTGGTGTAGACAGCAAAAGAAAGAGCAAGAGCAAAAGCTACGACAACAGCAATAGCAGCAGTAATGTTGGTATCGTACTAGCAGCGGTGAAATGCACTGTGTTTATATCAACGAGCAGGTCATCACACTGGAAAATTACGGAATGATCCAACCATGGGCCCATGTTAACCAGAAAAGCGGGGGAACGTGATCACCACCCGCAGGAGACGGACCAGTCCCCGCGGTGTATTAGCCGCCGGGAAGAGCCCCCCCGCTACTTACTTCTAGTCCCAATCACCAATTGCACCTCACGCATGCCCTAGGACGTGTGACGGCTCTGCGGATTGGCAGGTCTCGCTGTTGTGCTGACTTCGACTTCCTTGCATGCTACCTACTTGATGCATGGACTGGTAGACCGTCGGAAGAGGGGAGGGGAGGGGGAGGGGAGGACGGAAAAAAAGTACCGTGCCACTTCGACATATGAAACACACCCTCCTCCGGCTGCGCGCGGCTTTTACTGGCCCCCGTTCTTTCTCGCCGTAGCAGGATCAAGAGAGTCTGTGGGTAAGGTGTCAAAATTGTATGGCTACGAACGAGAACAGCTCAGAGGCTTGGCTCGCGTGAGCGGCTGTTTGAATTTTCTAGGCTTGCATTTCCGTAAAAAGGGCTATGTAAGTAGTGAGTACATAGTCCTAAGAAGGTTGTCAGTAAAGATTTTAAAAAGAGCCCAACATTACAAGTCTTATATATACTTTCTAGCCCTGAGGTGCGAAATATAGTCTTTTTCATTCTGTCGGATCATATTTACAATTGCTCATCTAAGCTAATTGATATGCCTATCTCAACATTGTTCATGGTTCGTTTTGGAGAGCCAGCTCCAAGTTATCGGCAATATTAATAAACCTCCACTGCGACAAGCAAAGGCGTGAGCCTAGCTTATCAAGCGTACATCATGTCTAACTTGTTGTACCTGCCACAGACAAAAGGAAAGGTGATGTCGAGAGATATAACACAAGAGGTCAGTTGACACAAAAACAAATTGGGTAGTCGTCATAACGTCGTTAGGTTTGGAAAGGGCAACATATGAAAGCCCCCAAGAATGAACAGACAGAAGATCGATTGAACAAACAAAACAGTGGCTGAGATACAAAAAAGTGGATAGCAAGCTCATGAGGGGTATCGAAATATCCATATCGAGATGAGGAGAGTGGTGACGGAACAAGCAAGTTCTTGGTATATGCTCAAATGAAGTTCCCGTTGTGGTGGATAGATGTGCCATTTTCGCGGCCTTTTCGGAGCGCCTTCGCAAGCATCAACTCCCTCATCCAATCGATGCGTTCATCGCGTGTTTTGACAGCGAAGTAGTGAGCTTTAGGGCCGTTGAGGAAGAGATTTCTCTTGTCGAAATTACCATTGGTCGGAGAAGGGATCAACGAGAAGGTGAATGCAGTCTCCCCCTGAATCTCATTCTTGCGCTTCAGAACAGTCTTCTTGAATGCAGCAGTCAACTTCGAGCTGGAAGCAAACGACGAGCACGCTACAGCGTAGTCGTCCACATCGATGTACTCGAGGGCCTTTGATTCTCGACTTGATGATTCCTCGTCGGAATACATGGCCAGCTGCGTGCCACGCAGGGTAAAGTGGTGGTCTTCCCAGTCATGGCGTAGGAATCGCGTGTTTTTGCGCTTCTTCATCCACCCACTATGGGCAACCTTGTTAGGTCCATGGGGTGTGAACGGAGTCCTGCAATGGGCAGCGCGGGGTGTTTTCTCCATATCCTCCGGGGTATCGATTGGCGGCAATGGTGACCGTTCCTCAAGTCGACCTAGCTTTGGCTGATTTCGGCTGTTCCAGATGACGCCATTCCTCCAGACGTTCTCTGCCTTGGTTGAGGCAGGCCGGGGAATCAAGTCCGGAACTTGATGCATTTGTCCTCCGAACCGCATGTTTGGAGGTACAGACTGCGATTCGCCCCGAGACACTGGTCCTACTGGGATGGCAGTAAGCGGAATGTCTACCTCGGAGAAGGGTGTGCTTTGATCGTAGTGAGGGTCAATTCTGTAGTAGTCGGACGGTGACAGAGTCGCCTCAAGGATTCCTGATGAACGAACGGAGCTTTGTTGAGAGAAGCCCTGGTGCTTTCGTAATATCGAGGGAGTGATGGTGCGTTGGGCAGAGTAATTGGGGGAAAGGGTAGATGTCGACGCATGTGTACTGGGAATCCTAAGCCTTGGAAGATGCCGAAGGTTCTCGGAAAGAGTGCCATTGGCTTTAACAGACTGTGGGGAACTTGTGGCAGGCGACAATTGCTCAATAGGGGGAGTGGACGGATTGGTCACCGGCTGAAGCTCACTCAGGCGCTGGAAATTGAGAAAGTTGCGTACATTCTCTTGTGGGTCGCGAGGCCGCACCCCATTGAGCTTGTCTTGCGACAATTGGAATTTGGAGTTCTGATTCTGACCCAGAGCATCTGAAGACGCAACAATGGAAGGCGTAATTTCCGACTTGGGAGTTTTGGCCATGTTCTGTGCTGTAGTCGCGTTTCCGGGGTCCCCTGCAATGACAACAGAACCACCTAGGCCTTCAATGGGAAGATCATTTAGCATTCGAGTGAGCTTGACCTGCTGCTTTTGCCATTTTCGACAGTTTTCCCCCTTTGAACATGTGTGGAGCCTGGGCAGTAGCTGTTCAATGGCCACGATCGAGACTGAGTCTTCAGGAACGATATCCACACCATCGCGCCGCTTGCGATGACGTCTCCGTTGCTGAGCAGACTTGGATCTGGATTTCTCATCTACAGGAGAAGGACTTGAGCATTCGACACCAACTTGAGCTGCCATAGAATTGGGTGTTGTCGTGTCTTCTCTGCAGATCGGATCCGAATTTTCTTGGGTTTGGGGAGCATCACAAATGACAGAAGTTGTTTTCGTTCGAAGTTGACGGATGCAGCCCATAACCCGATGCCGCTTGCCAAATGACTGTATGTCAAGCTCTTTTAAATCTTCGGATTGAAGTTCAAGTAGAATGGCGCCCGTGATATCATTGATAAAGAATTTCTCCACGATCGAATCTTCGAAACCCTGACTCTGCAACCATAGAACGACATCCTGAGGGGACCAGTGCGAAACCTCCCGTTCGTTCGGTCGTGAGCGAGAGGGTTGAGCTTGAGATAGTGTGAGGGCATTCTGGGTCGGGTTTTTGGGTACTGGTGTGTCTTCTCGGTCGGGCTCGAGGGTAGAGGTTGGGTTATAAAGTGATATCGTGGCTGGTGCGGAGCCAAAGTCGTCCATAGTCAAGTCAACTTCGAAAGAATGTCCAAGTTCTGATCCATCCGAGCCAATGCGGAACAGATGGGGACCTACAGGACCCTTCACTGGGTTTTCATCGATAGCGAAATGAAATCCTGTGAGACCGGTGGAATCTGGAGTTTTTGGTTCTTCCGGACTTGAATCGGTCGGCGTTGATGCAGTTGTGACACTATCACCCGCGAGCTATATAAATCAATATTAGAACAAAGCCATCCGTATCTACTATAGCACTAGAGGATTATACTCACAGATCCAACGCTAAGATTCGGAGAGATATCAGAATAGTCTTCGTTCGAGTCGGAATCGAAATCCGTGTCTAGGATCTCGGTCGAGTCGGTATCCGACACCGACGGATTGGCGACTAGTGATTGAAAGTAGTGCATCTTCAACCTGTCGCAATTTGTTTGTTTGCTCGAATCCTGGCTTGAATGAGTAATGCCCTTCATTTAGACGGTGGACAAGAAAAGAAGATATCATACCAGGCTTCTACCTGGAAGAGGGTTAGGATAAACCCCAAGCTAGATGCTTTTGGAACCCGCCAAAAGCGTTGTGTATCGACTGTAACTTCCGTTTATGACCCTGCACCAAGCACTCGGTGGTCGAGGCGTATAACACTCAGGGTGACTAAAGTCAGGATGAGAAGGTGTGCGTTGATGTTGATTGAATTGGCTCGGTTGAGGTATCCTATGGACAGTAATACATGACCTCTTTCGCCGGGAAATGATTGTAGATGTTGGAGGGGGGGTAATCAAACGGAGAGGCAGATCCGAGAGGGAGCAGAGAATCGACACGTATATGTAGAACCAAGGTGGCCAAAATCCCCTTCGGCATGATATAAAAAAAGAACTGAGCACGACCAAGGACCTGAGGTACGATCGCGGTGACTGGCCGTTGCTATGAGAGAATCTATGGATGTGACAATTTGAGCATGCAGTTGCATGAGGCGGGGAGGACTTGTACTCGTCGAATGGATTATCGTCGCCTTGTTCTGACTCCGGGAGCTGGGGGTTTGATTCGCTGTTGTTCGGTAACCTGGAAATATGCCAGCGCTTGGAAGGCGGTCGCTCAGGGCTCATTCACTCGCTGATTGGCCTTGAGCCACGATCCTGCATCCCTGGACAGTCCCAATTTAGCATCTTCTGAGAGGACCGTGGTCATGGCACACAGTAGAAGAGGGTCAAATGATATCTCACTGGCTCGGTAAAGGGCGCTACTACTGTGATGACGGGACGACGGGGTGACGGGAAACGGGGTTGGTCCGTCGCAGACAGCCCTCAAACACTAAAGACACTAAACAGCACTAAAGCAGCCGGCTTTCACCTTAATCACCTCAGGTCATTGTGCAACGATAAGAATAGCTACAACAGGGGAGTTTTAGGGGTGTTTCTCACCATAATGGGCGGTTAATGTCTCCAGGAATAGCATCTTCTGGGACTCACGAGTAAGTTGAGTGTCGGTCAGTGTCGGCCAGAACTGATCAGGACCGATCAGGACCAATCTAACCATTGTCCACCTGTGTCATCAGGAGTGACTTCACCTGGGGAACCAAGTCAAAGCACGAGGATTTCTGGAGCTTTGACATGGTTACCCCTCACGGCTATGTACTGTGACAGCCAGCTACTGTGACTTGCATGATTGCATCTCTAACAAACTTTGACTCGGCCGGCTTGTCTCACCGCCTGTTTTACTTGCTGGTCTGATCCTAAACCCAACGCCGCAACTGCCTGGCTCGCCTACCTTCGCTTTCATCATTCCGCCGCCAAAAGCAAGGCAAGGAAAGATCTAGATCTTCTTGGGGTATCTTCTATCTTATCGATTACGGCTGAATAATACCTCTACTTGTTGGGATGCCTATAGCCCTTGATATCTAGTAGCAAAGCAAGCAGCGTCTGCTTGCTAACGTGGATTCTGTAAGAATGATAGCTAGACCGTGTTCTCGGGAGGCTCGCAAAACATCCGGGAAGTTGATTCAATACCATTTGGGAGTTATGGGTAGGCTGCTGCGCGATCTGCATATGCACCAGTCATGTGATATACACAGCGGCTGGACGTCAATCTCTCTCTCTTTTAAATATCACCAGCCTTCCCAGATTACACCACCCTCAGCATGTTATACAATCTATCCTCACAGAGGTCCTGACCTAGAATTTACACAGAAAATTTTACTTGCAGGTTATGGTCACTCCAACTTATTCATCAATTAGTTAACACGCCGAAGCATAACAGATAAGTACCAGAACTGACCCTATCCATCGCCGACCATGACCCGAAGGCCATGAGAGCCTACACCTTCCTTACGTACTCAGCACAATCAACAATTTCATATATCTAGCAGCGTGGTTGCGAGCAGAAATTTGGATGCGTGGTTTGATACAAGGTGTTCAATCATACCCAAAGCAGGGAGAATCAATGAAGCGCATAGAAGCAAAAGCTTCTTGGTGCGGTTCTTAGCACGAAGTGAGAGAATAAAGACTACGCTGTACATTAGTATTGTTCGCTCACATTATAGTATAAATATCCTGAAAAGTTGCTGAGCGTCGCATTGACAATCAGAGCCAAATGAACATCTGCTTAGTCTGAATAGAGCTTCAGTGGAACCCATAGTACAATCAACCACAACGTCTAGCTCCTGAGTAGAAGCATTTAAGTACACATTACTTCGTGCACTAAGATGCCAATTTTAAATGAATCTCTTAGATAGAAGATCTGATAAGGCCTTGTTTTGCTGTACCTGATATCTTAGATCGAGATCATGTCAGCCAAGTGGATCCTGCAACGCGCAACGCGGGTAAACTGGAACCCAGATTGAGCTATGAAGCCTTGTACATCCATACATCCTCCACTCTCAGGTCAATTCATGTTCTAGAAAGACTTTAGACGATAACATCTCTCCGGACATCTTTTCCACATTGGCGCTGCGCATGAGGCGGCCCTTCAAGTTGGTCCTAGCTGCATGTCATATCACGAGCTCATGGCCGTTGACTCTCGAGACGAGCACGTAGCGTGTCGCATAGTGTTTTGGGATAACGCCATCTGATCCGAAGAGACGCCAACTAGACGCGCAATAATCACAGCGTATCCCTCTTGTCGGAAAGCGTGGCAAAATCTAGTTGTGGATGACAGGCACCAGCAGTCTGGTAAGTTGAATGATTCGTTATACCAGACTCAAGATATCCGCATCAGGCATGTTGGTCTCTAGATCCACGCAGGGGAGATACTAATTATGTCTCTCTGCGCCTAATCCGGTGATCGAAAGTCTCTGATCAGCCAGTTCGCGCTCGATTTAGTGTGGTATACGTCCAGTGCCCTGAATATTCATGATGGGTCCACCACGCGGGAACAATAGAGTGACGAATTGAGAGACGGTTATTATTAGAATGCCGCTGGTGATATGAGCTAAAAATATGGCAGCAAGAGATCAAGAATTATTAAAAAGAGGTATTAGGCGGCTATCTTGAGACTAAACTGTCAAATATATGCTTCCCTGGCGCTCAAACAAGCAATTAAGCAGCATTCTCTAGCAAAGCGGGCGGTTAATCTTGGTTACTAATTAAGGGATCATGCAAGACTATCCATGTCCGGCAGACCACAACAAATCGAAGGAAATCTTATCAATACTTCTTTTTTCTGCACGGGCCACAGCCAACGTCGGCTCTTGGTTGGTGGGGAATGCTTGGAACACTGTTTAGCGCCCACAATCCCAACCCACCGAACCGCCGATGGCTGACAAGCACAACCAATGACTTCCGAGGGGGTGAAGCTTGGCATGCACCTCTTGCAGTTCTTTCACACACTATACTCTCTAACGTCGTTTCAGCAGTCGCCCACTGACTCTCCAAGCAGGAAATCTCGTGCTGTCAAGTGTCTTGCAACCAATGGAAAGAGGGTTTTTTTGAGTCCGGACATGGGTCATTTGATTCTTGGTGGCAGAAAATAGATAGCATCTCCAGTGCCTTGAGACTTTCGCACTCAACAGTTCACCTTCCACGACTGCGGAAGAGTTGGGGAAAAAAAGAACCCAGATCTCATTGATAACGAACTGAGTTGGAAGAAAGTCTTGATGAGCGGAATGATGAGAGACTGGGAATGCAGTCCACTTTCATCAGTGCTGGGGGAAGCGCGATAGCAGAGACTAGGTGCGGACCCTGACCAGGGACCCTAGCTCTTTTCTGCCTCCTAATTGATGCAAACCGTCCAGGCACCTTCAGGCCAATGCTCCCAAAATTAGCTCTTAGTCGCCCACTAGTTGTCGCTCGCATCAGATCTTCCCCGCCCGCAGTTTGCATGTTGGTTCCGTTCACTGCATTACCAGTTTAGCTCTACCGCCCACGTCAAAAAATAGAAGCATCGTAGCATGACGCTTTATCGCACACTAGACTTAAAGGTGGTCCCTCTTCCAACAATATTAAGGCATCATGTTCGACACCAGCTGGTCGTATTCAGGCCACGCAGTCAGCGACAATCTTCTTTCGGTTCCAGTTTCCTTCATTCCTGCACAGCCTCAAGCTCATACCATACATCTTGTCCAGACTGGCTATTGCCAAAGTACCTGGGTTTGCACTGAGATCGCACCAATCATTCGCACTTGGCTTTGGACCGATATCTAGCTTGGACTCGGCAAAAACTACCGAACTTTGAACACGATATCTCGGAGACGATTTCCGCGGTCATCATGTCAGGAACAGTGGCATCTTGCAGTTCGGGACCCATGTTGGTGAAGGACAATACTGTTCATCCCAGCATTCCGCCTATGAGTCCTGGGGAAAGAATCGTTCGATCCTACCGACGCTCACGTTCCGGTCAGTCCCACTGACGCCCACTTCTCAACGCCTACCCTTGAAACCGCGCACGAGTGATCTGGACTGACACTTTTACATCGCGCAGGTTGTTATATTTGTCGCCTGCGGCGCAAGAAGTGTGATGAGAACCGTCCAAGATGCTCGACATGCAGCAAGCTCGATATTACCTGCGAATACAATGAACCGACCTGGTGGAGAAATCTCGAACAACGACACATACATAAGGAGCGGATTAAGAGGAGACTCAGGGTTGCCAAGGTCATGGAAAAGGAAAAGAACCTGCAAGGTATGCTCTGAAGTGTCACCGAGTCTCATTGAGTCTTCTTCCCACACTTAGCAATAGAATTTATCGATCGCACTCTTCCTTCGAGCAAGAGGCGCGTCAATGTCAACTTGCCCCCGTCGCGCGAAAGCTCATACGAATCGGATGCGGCGTATATGCAGACTCCACCCCTGCCATCAATGTCTTCTCCCTTTGGCTTCGACTTCAATGGCATCTCATCCTGGCAAGGCCCAACTACGTCTACCTTAACCAGCCTTGGTCCTGAGCAAATGCCGATGCAGCATCCCCCGCTTTCTGCGCTCCCACAACAATTGCCCACGACGCAAAACTTTCACCAGATGTCCCAGTTTGCGCCAATGCTGCCTCCGTTTCAGCAAACAATGCAAAGTGTGCCGCAGCAGTTACATCAACAGATTCCTCTGGATATTACTCCGCATTATCCCCAGACAGAAGTGCCTCAGCAGATACTCCAACAATTGCCCTTGTCACAGCAACCAGAACCACTCTCCCAGAGCACCGATCAGCAGTACTCTCAACAGCTGCACCAAACCGTTGTTCCAGATATATCTCAGTTGCTTTCTCCGACTTTCTCTGAACATTTTGCGTCTCAGGCTTCACAATACTATACCCAGCCACCGGTCGCTCAGCAGCCTCAACAGTCAATCCATCAAGCTTCTAGCTCATACTCCGCCTTCCCGATTGACCCACTACTTCAAGGAAATACTGGAGATTCCCGCGCATCTACCGACACTACCTTTCCGAGCGTTGCGCTGTTTCAAGGAAACATCCCAGCCTCCCAGACCCCTGCCCGCGCAAAAGCCACACATCCACAGCATGCCGAGATACCTCTGTCTGCCTACTTCCGAACGACAAGTGTCAACGAAGCTGAAAGGCCCCTACTCTACCATTTTGTCGACAATGTGCTGCCACTAATTTTCCCCATTTTAGACGTTCATCCGCGGAGTCGTGCCCGCACACGTGAGATTATTCGGGCCCTAGAGACGAACAAATCTTACTATCACTGCTGTCTTAGCGTATCGGCTATTCACGTCAAGACAGTGAACGCCAGTATTAGCTTGAAAGCTGACGATAAAGTCATTGATGATATCATGCGGCATCGGTATGCTGCCGTCTCAGCCCTGCACCAGGCTTTGAAATCCAGCAATCATCATGACAAGGTGCTGGACGGAACACTTGCAACGATACTCTTCCACTGCGCTGTTGGCGAACCAGACGATTACCTGCCGGAGATCCCGTGGTACGAACACTTTTCGGCGGCCGCAGACCTCGTCAATAAGCTTGGATTGATCGAGACGGAACCCCAGGTCTCTCTACCGTTCAATATGTCGCTTACTACCTGGATTGATGTTCTCGGCGCCACAATGATAGGCAAGTCACCCAAGTTTGCGCACACGTATCGCTCAAAACATCTCAATGGTGTATCGTCTGGTTTGCGGGAGCTGATGGGCTGTGACGATCGCGTTATGTACCTGATTTCAGAGATTGCGTGTCTCGACTCCTTGAAGCGTGAGCGACGGCTTGACGAGTATTCTATATGCCATCACGTCTCTGCCCTGAGTGGACAGCTAGAGTATGCGGAAGGCAGTAGCCCGGAAAACCCGATCTCAGCGTCTGGTGTTGTGAATCCAGAGAAGCTGACCAAGAACGTGACTGCTGTTTTCCGCGCTGCAGCTCGAGTTTATCTTTCCACCCTTGTGCCTGGCTATGAGCGCACTCAACAGAGTACAGCCAACTTGGTGCAAGCAGTCGCCGATCTCCTTCAGTTCATTCCCGATGGCCCTTGGGGGTTCGACCGCTCGATCGTCTGGCCTCTACTGATAGCTGGGGTATACTCGACTCCAGGGAGTAAGTTCCGCGATATACTGGCGAAGCGATCGGAACTACTAGGAGAAGGAGCAGAATATGGCAGCTTTGGCCGCATGTACCGCGTACTGAAAGAGACCTGGAGACTTTCGGACGACACCACGACACAGATCCACACGGAGGCGAACTACCTGCTGCCTTCGATGAATCTCAAGCAGGGTCCAGATGGATCTTCAGTTCCACCACCCGCGATCGAAACAATCGGTCGACCCATAAAAAAGCAGGCCGTCCACTGGCGAGACGTGATGAAACGCCGAAATTGGCACTACCTGCTATTATAGCGTGTCTAACACATGCTCAAATGAATAAAAGAAGAGAAGAACCGAAGTTCGAGAACTAAAATAAGTCAATTTCTTGTACGTCCATCGCAATGCCCTTTTCCCCGCTTCCTTCGAGAAACTGACATTTCACTCAGCATGCAGCTGCAGCTGCGGCAAAGCTGAACAGTTGGCTTTCCGGCGCATATGTGGCAGGAGTTGAGGAGCAGGTGGTCTGTTTCTGTTTGTCTCTGTCGTTTTTCACAAGCACATTGTTTGCCTTTGCTTTATGCTTTCCCTCTAAGGACCTGCTTCTGGTTGATTTCTCGCCCGTGCTATTTCCATACTTGACACAGCTGTGGCTTGATGCCACATTCGATTTTCCTCTTTTTCTTTTTCTTCTCCTCCTTTCCATCCTTTGCCTCTTATCATTCTGAGAGACGTTTTGCGATCTGGCGCGCAACAAGGGTATCTCTTGTGCCATCGCTTATTGTGATTTCCCGGGTGGCACAGGAGACCGGCGGTTAACTGAGTTTTTTATATAGCGAGACGCCGACGCATCATATACTTGACCGTGCGGGTCGCTCCCGCTACATGCAAGATCACGCGCCTGCTCTCTCCCTGTCTTCCTCGCAGATGTTGGTGATGTCTTCATGCTTATGACTTATGTTGGATGCTTACTGTCGGTCTTGGCTATGTTTATAGTTGCTCAGCCTAGCTCCTTGAATTTGGATATATGTTCTCATCTCTCATACTTTGATGATGCCGTGCCGTAAATCTGGCCACTTAGCACATATCTCGAAGACTTACCTGTTATTTGGCAAATTTTATGGGTCGTGCACTGATGTTTTAGCCATCTCAAACCAAGTAGCCGTCATAAATATAACAAGTAAATCTTATTCTTTATGTATGTTGGAAGGAATTTTTGTTGCCAAGCTAATTCCGCCTTATTCAGATATTTCAGTCCTTGGCGAGGTTTAGCTTTATTTGTGATTCAGAAGTGTGTGTGCGATCGGTAAATCGTCACGATGGCCTCAGAGAACAAAAGTTGGACAATCTATCCAGTGAACAACGATGAGCACGACGATAACAAGGGATTCCCGGTTATCTTGGGTTTCGAGTTTTCTCTTCCCCTTCTTGTGCTCTTTGAAGTGTGGGTGATGTCAATATACGCTGCTGCCCTCAAGAATATATTTTCTAAGTGCAATCCAGTAGTACTGTATGTGCTGCGGATCGAGTCCCTTGGTAGATGACCTTAGCAGGGTGATCAAAATCCGACTCTGGCTGCCATTTAAGACTATTGGACTCAGGATAGATCAGCTGAGAATGCAGGGAGACCGTTAATATGCTCAGGGGCGAGTCGGCGACAAAGGCCGCAAGTAAATGATGGACGAGAAATGGCAACTTGAGCTGGCATTCATAGCCAGTCGCAGCGGAGTCTGCGGAAATATAACGGGGTTATGTGGCGCTCACTGTGAGACGTGTTTTGTCGGTGGGAATCTGTTCTGAGCGGACCAGATGGAATACGAATGCAGGTAAACGTCTCTGGTCATATATGAATGGTTTCAACATCCGGATACATGGGGGAGTGTGGGTTCAACCAGAACTCTCGCCCGCTCCCTTCGAACCTTTGAAATAACGAATGAAGAATGACTCACTGAGATGTATGGCCTACAGCCGGCAGCCACTTTGACTTTTCTGGACAGGCTAAAAGGACAACCAAGGGATGTCCCTAAGGACTTACCAAGGCACGATAAGTTTCTCTCTTGTAGAGACCATGCGGTCGTTTGTCGAGAGATAGAGAGCTGCGTAACAGCACAGGAGTACAATTTCTCTGGAATATATCGCGGGAGTCTCTACGGAGAAGGAATTTGACTGTGCTGGACATAACCACAAGAAAGGCGATAGGCTTGAGTCATTTGAAAAAAAAGACAATTTAATGACTTGGATAATCTTACGTTATACCTTTCATCTGATCCCCCTTGCAAGAGGATTATAAGTCAAACTGATCGTCTCAGGAGTCTTGAAGCACCTAGCCAAAAGAAAGAATATAGACGTTCGACGTGTATAAGCAGAATATGAGAGAGAACCAGTCTCGTCAAGTATACAGTCACTACCTTGAATTAGTTCGTCTATTTTAATTAGATGTCGTTGGAGTTGACATAACGTGCAAGTCTTTCAACATCGACACCTCTCATAGATCGCTCTTTGGATTCCCTTGGTTAAGACAGGTGTTGATGAAGTGTGACTGGGGAACTGGACAGGGCCCTACTTAAAGACGGGATGGGGTCGAATGGAAGCTGATTGACAAGCTAGGACCTCTGACTTCCACATGGAGCTGCTAGCGGTCGAATTGGATGCCATCGACGAAAGGGCTCCAAGGCATCGTCAGTGCAAGAGGCCTCGACTTTCGGAAAGACTGACAGCCCACTGTCGATTGGTAGAAAGATCGAGCCAACAGAAGGCGGAAACAGTGACGTGAGGGGTGTGCATTGCTGAGACTCAATCGATATTCGAAAATGCGCAAGCGCGGTACACCTTCTCAAGATTGGGGTGGCCTCGTGAACGCAGTGGAGCACCTATCGGCCCCTACCAGATATCATGGATCTGACCTCTAGTGAATACCTTAGAGACTTACCAAGTAAGAGTAGCCTTCAGTCAAAAATGTTTAGCATGTTTAAAATTCACCAAGCCAGCACCAAATCTCGATAGCTTGCAATTCTTCTGACCTGCAGCAGCAGTGGGGTCGAGGCTTTTGACTGTACAGTAAGCATGATAAGCTAGTCATCGGACATTCATCTCTTTCCGATGCATCACTAGGAGCTTCAAAGAAGCTCTGGTTCCAGCGTTATGCCATTGCTGTCACTGTTTTGAAACCAGAGAAGACACTGTTTTTGTGAGCCACATTTATGACATGAATGCTGATTGAAGGAGATGGTGAAGATAATAGGCTTGGTGCCTTGATGTCTTGATGCGGGCAGCCATAAACAACCAAGGTGAAGATATCTTGGAGTCAAGACAGACGTGCTTTCCAAGTAACCACATGACGAAGGTCGGGTTCTTAGCGTAACAGTAACCTTCGTCAGAAATGTCTCCTCCGACTGACACGATAGCATTGTAAAATGACGCGCTAACTATTGTAGCGGTTGGAGAGCCAATTGAACAGAGCTCAACCAGAGAGACTTTATCTGGGGTGATTGAGAGCTCCTGATACTTAACTTAGAATCCGAAACTCTAGCTAAGCTCGTCGCATTCCACCCCGCATCATGCAGGGGTAAATACTCCGTCTGCTGCACTTGTGGTTGTCAAAGGACCAAAGCACCGATATGCAAAGCCATGATATAATGCGCCTTAGGTCGTGACGGTATCAATACCTAGGAAGCAACGCTAGTAAATCAGGTAGGTATCCCCAGTATACCCTCAGTCTTTCCAAGAATTATGGAGAAAGAGTTCATGGATGTCAACAACTTCCATGCCCAAAATAAGGGAGGTCCGTCAAAAAATGGCGATCAATGAAATGCAAATCAAAGAGAAGTATCATCCGCTCGTCAAAACCATGCTTAGCTACTGCAGTGGTGATTGAATTGAAGAGAGAGGATTATTTCAACATCAAAAGCTTGTATCAGCTGTTTTGTGTATTGTTGAATATCTGACACAGTGCGCGGAAAGTCATGCCGCTCAGGTGTGAAATGGCTGATATATGGCAGGTTACCTTGGCGATGGAGAAAGGGTGTCTCGAGCAAGTGATTGCTTGCTATTTTTCCAAATATAGGCCTTCGGGATAGGTGCGTGGGAGCCGGAGACGATTCGAAGTGAGGTCAATCGTCGGCTAACGCTAGTACTCGGAGAGCCCAATAAGATCAAACTGATGAAAGATTGATCAAGGCCAAGAAAGCATGTTGCACGGATGAAACCATTGTCGAATAGACGGGGTGCTCACTTAGAACTATTGGGCGCAAACGCTGGATGTCATCCTCACGGCGTCTATAACCATATAGCGAAGCGCATCAACTATCGAAACAGCGCAGGGTTTGCCCCAGGTGGGCCGCTATGATTCTGCAGAACCAGGGTCACTCTTCCCAAAGCATAAGGGAAGAAGCGAAGAGCGGCTTGTTGAAGACAAGGGGCGGCGGCAAGAACCACGCACCCTTATCAGAGAGCGTTGTGCTCTCAGGAGCCGCGACGATGCCGCTGAGGCTGGCAGATTTGAGGCGCCGTTCTGGAAAACGGTTCGAGGATTCATGATGGATTCGCGGACATTGTCCCGAGGGGATCTGATTCAGATGCCGCGCGATAATACGGGGTGAAGGCCCCGATTTTGAATATCGCTATTTCATTAATCGAGGAGCGTTGAAGCCTGAAGCATATAAAGAAGGGTTATCATGACAGCGGGTGGTGTAGTCTATCACTTCCCTGCAACCAAGTTTGGTCTTGAGGTGATTCTGCTCAACCCCGCCACTGTAGGCAAGACAGATCGCTTCCTGTTCAAATTGTGTCAGTCGACACCTGACCCCACATTGGCGCTCTACTAAGTATAGAACTTCAGATCTATAGACGGACACGCCGCTTGTTCTTTTTTTGCCTCTTCTTCATCAGGATCGAGGCAGTGAACGAAGGTAGGTCAAGTGGTGTTGTCCTGCTGTTGCTATTTTCGATCGGGGAGCCTGGTCGCGCTAACTCGATCGCGGCTTAGAGCAGACCTTGCGCGGAATTGCATCCAGCGGATACCGTCCCGTCTTGTATCCATACGATACACAATTACGTGTACCTTACCGTTATCATACGGAACCAACTGAACTTTCATACTTCCTAATCCACCAACTGCTCGACAACCCATTTTGGAAACATCCACCGTGGGCACAGAGGACGCTACTATATTACCACCTTGTCCCCTGTTACTGGCTTGGTCTATCGTCTCAATCGCATAAGATCATCGTCAATTTTAATCCCCTTGACATTCATTCCTCCGGTCCTTGTGAATCTATACAAACACCTCTTCTACTTTATCCACTATACAGATCCTCACTCTCTACACTGCCAAGCTATCGCATTCTTCATAGCTTCAAATACAGTGCAATGGCTCCTCGACCTGCGCTCTATCCGCTCAAGACACCGAAAGGAGTATCTTTCCCTTCTGAACTTCAAGATGACCAGCCTTATGGGTCAGACACCAGTCAACAAGACGCAGACAATGGGCCTTCCGTACTACCACCCCGGGCATATACAGAGTTTCTTCGCGCATTAAGCCCTGTATATGCAGGACCAGAAGGCCTCAATGCGAGCTATACAAGATGGGTCTTGAGCAAGACTCTGCCCTCTCCTGTCTCGTTGCCTTCAACCGCCAGCACCTCGTCTTTTCCCGGAAACATTGAGACGAAGACGAGCCCAACTTCTATTCCGCCATCCCCAGTTGCTTCCTCTCGACCTGTGAGAAGCTCCAGCACCTTACGACGTCTTCGCCCGTTGTCAAGTTATCCATACTCCCCCATTACCGCCGAGTCGCCTCAGAGTCCGTTCACCGTACGAACTCCATATTCCCCCGCAGACCGGAGGACAATGAGCATCGACACAACAAATGCAGGCGGCGGGAAAACTGTTACCATCCAACATATTGTCACACGTACGGTCACTTTGAAGCGCACGCCTCCGCTCGAGGCGCCACCCAAAGGCAAACGCCGCAGAACCAGCGACTCTGAAGAGCAGTAAACCTGCCTGCTTTGCCACAGTCACGATCATATTTCGACAGATCGATGCCACTTTTTACGCTTTGGAGTTCTTGAATGATTGCTTTTCTTGCCCTTTCTATTCGGTTGTATGCTTGTATTCTGGGTTGCAATGATTTGGTTTTCTTTTTGTCATGCATTATCAAGTTCTAAGCTCTATGACGACCGCTAGACACACGCGCATCCAGATCCTGGCGATTAGGATTGCAAACAAACAGGTGATGAGGTTTGGAGTTGGGGTATTTGCATGGTATCTTGTTCTCATCAGGAAACGCCGTGTTTCTTTGCGGCTGCTTCGAGATGAATCAATAATGGTCTTTATTGTGGGCCGGGGGGAGGGCGTGCTGGGGCCCTTGGCGTTAGTTGTCTGACTCGGGTCTTAAAGAACCAATGGAATTGAACATATCGCTAAAGCATGTTGTTGATTATGTTTGAGCCAATGAGACTGCATACTTGATCGTTGGAAATCGCTTAGCCCTGGTAAATCTGCCGCCAGCTTGAGACCGGCGTACCAATCAGAGACCGGCAGATGTCGATTGAATCTGCCTTGAGGCCACGAAGGATCTTCATGGCGTACCAGCCCAGCTTCCTTTTCCCACGTGTCGACCATCAGCCATGGCGGACGTCTGTTGTACGTGAGAGCTACTCCTGTGTTGCGTGAAACCTGTCAGACAGGATCGAATTGTGGCTTATTGCGGATACCGTTGCTGCTAACACGGCCCCCATTCTGAGAGTCCAGATCCAACGGTTACAAAATGTAAGTTTTGTATGGTACCATTGCAGAATCCTGCCAGTGGGAAAAATGTTCCTATGTCTAGCCTTCGCCCGCAAACAAATCGTATAGTCCAGAATGGAAAGGGTGTATTTCTAACAAACAATCCTGCGGGATGCCTACGCGCAGTTGTAACGATACCGCGTATAATACATGATGGATCTGATATATCTGTAATACTATGTATTACAGAGATGAATATGCAGCGGCCATGACACAGCATTGCTTACAGTCAACACCAACCTAGTCGTTTAACAAAGGAAGCACTTAATGGAAGCTCTCACATAAATCAATACAACTATCGATTGAGCCTACACTGTCCAAGTCAACAAGCGCTTTCTCGGTGTGTATACTCAAGCGCTACAAGATACAGAATGTTATGTTTCTAGCTGACAATCCCGGTTTCTAGGATACTATGTTTAGGTATCGCCGACGTCAGGATATTTAGGGCGCCGAAAAAGGTGTCATACACACAGCGAAAGCAGATATCGAGGGTGTCAGGGTCCAACAGCAAGTTACATGGATCTTGCTGCGATGGATTCTTCAAGCTGGCGTTGTGGGTCCCAATCCATCTAGAACAAGCTATGTTTTGCGCGTTTCACCACGATCTCAGTCCTTGGTGGTTCTAGTGACACCTGGTCCATGCAGCGTGGCGGACCTTCTGGCGGAAGAAGCTTGATGCCCTTTGATATCAGACAGCTTGGGATTGGCTAGAGCTTCGAGAGGTAATATGAGCAGACCGGGCATCGCGCAAAAATCACACAAAGGCCCTGAAGATACGACTAGAAAAAGCAACAAGTCTAGAAATAGAAATCGGGTAAACGAGAATACTGCTGTATTCGCCTATCATTTGGCACTACAATAGTGGTCGCCTATAGCGAGAAAAGCATGGGACATCTGGGCATGAGGGCATCGTGAATCTTCTGACCAATAGGCGTACGGAACGGGAAGTGCTACCTACCTACATGTAAGTCATTGATAACTTAACTAACTCAATCCAGGTGTATTGCAGTGTGAAGGTACTACCCAGATACCTCTAGCTCGGGACAGGCTTGCCTCGAGTGATTGATTGGGCGGATAGCCCCTGCCGTGCGGGGGTGACAAACGTGACGCGGGACAGGGATCGTGCATGCTCACACCATATGGTTGGACACCTTCTCCCACTATTGCTAGTAACCTGCAGCAACAAGGAAATCAGGGTGCGGGCGGCAGCCAGATGCTATTTTTGGTCCTGATCGAATAACCCCCGCCGTGATATGACTTTCAGGGTCTGCCAATGGTCACGCCTGGTCGACTGGACTGATGCCATGACCCTTCCCCTGCTAAATTGCGCAGCTAATGTAATGGCAAATCAGAGTGCCGCAATCGAATTTGATATTCTATTCTTGGGCCTCTCTAGCCGCTGACTCGACCCACTGTGCATCGTGCTTGATTCTACCGGGACTGTGGTACGCAAACAATTGTTAGCCGCCGAGGACCGCACCGCAAACCCTGAAGAAGCCATATTTAGAACACGCCCGAACTACTGCTCGCATGCCATTATCGGCATATCTCCCTCTTCTTATTACCACCTCACCAATCATAATCATCAAATAACATTGGCCTCCTGGCAGGACTTGCGCACTTACAAGCGCATCATGCATCGCCCTTCTTCTCATTTGTCCGTTGCAGTGTGATGTACAGAAATAGAAACTCTCCATCACATCGTGGTCTCTACTAGCATTGCGACCGCTCAAGCTCCAGCTTTTGTTTGCTGTTCTATTTCCATCCTCCTTCGCGCTTATGTTTCAAGATGATAACCTGCGTCTTTAGGCTCAACCAACGACCGTCAATAGCGCCTAGCTAAGTGAATTGAACCCCCGTCACTCGACATCCTCTAGGGAGTGGAGATCTCTGGACTGATTTCCACTTTGGAGAGATCCACTGCAGCGCTTTCGAATGACAGGAACGGTCCACTAGGGGTTTATTTTTGGTAACAATTCAATTTCAACCTCATGCCTACGCGACCGCCATGTCCATTTCACTTTTACACCAAAACTTTGGGTGTGGTTGTAGAAGAAGTAGATAGAATTAAAGTTAGTCTCTCAGTGCATCGTTATGCCAAAGAACAGGATCAAAAAGCTGTCCGTTGGGGAGGGGAATATCACAAAAGGATTCACATACACCGTATGTAGGAATCATGGAAGCATGTATGCACGGAGCGCTATCAAAAATCGGAATGCATGATCAACCAATCACAAGGGGCATTACTGAGGAACACATTACCACGACTGTGCGTCACGCTGCATGACGGCCTGCTAGGTTGCAAGAACAATGACTTAGACCGACTTTTCTCTTAGTCATTTTTGTCTCCCACCAGCAGATATGGTTTCTATTATTACTTTGGCCTGGGCAAACTTGATTCTACAGATTGTCATCCCATTGCATACCAAGCGTCAATGAGCTCAATGGCGGAGGTTATTCCAGCAGTATCGCTACCAGTTTTTATCCAGAAATCTGATTCTATCCCGATCTTACCGTCGCCCCTAACCCATTTTCGGCCTAAGCTGCTCGACGTGCTGCCTGCAGCAAGCCTCTAATCTTAATTTTACTCAAATCAAACGCTTTTCTCCAGCAATATCGGCCACCTTCATTTCTCATACCGCACGCAATGGCCCTGTTGTCATTCCGATTCTTCCTGCCTGCTTGTCTATCATCGGTCTCCAGTTGCCTTTTCTTCGGCCCCCTATGAGATAAATATAGCAATTCATGGTGAGGTAATTGAACAGACTGCGAATCTGCATTCCTAGCGCTTGCCACTTTCTTTCCTTCCCCGACCCCCTCCTTACCCCTAGCTGCCTCTATAGCATCAATATTCAATGTTCAGCATCTTGCCTTGTCGATCCTGTACAATATGTATCGTACAGTATCGTACAGTACCTACATCTCCCCTCCCCAGAGCTCTATAGTTCACTATACAATAAGCATCGGACTGATTTTTCTTTTTCCTTATCCTAGCATCCCAAATTATGCTTCTCTCCGAACCTTCCTCGTAGAGTCACATCTGACGATGCTCTAAATCTTCTAATTTTAAGACTGGAGTTGATCGGCACATCATGCAGCGCAACACGCCGCACCACCACGCAGCGCTTCGCTTCATGGTATCTGGCCTCTTAGTAGTTGAATATCCACCTGTTCACCATACCTGCTCCAATTTATGTCGCTGATCGAGTCCCCTCTGCAACGCTTGATATCCACATTATATTCTGTCGTCTGGATGATGTACTTCTTGGCCATCGTGGGGTTTCGTTGGGTTCTCTCCCAGGAGAAAAGGATAAAATATCCTTATGGAGAGATCGTCAACTTCGTTGGAGACGAACTCGCTCCCGGTAATCCCGACACGTTTCCAGTTGTACCCTTATAGTCCGGGCATCAAGATGGTAGTTGCGCGATACGGTACATGAACTGTGCTCTAGAAGGTTGAACTGTAGACATCAATTATAGTCTATTTTAGCTTAGAGATAGAGGAAGAGTGAATTGCAAAGCAATGAACTGATAGTCCAATAACAGGATAAAATAAGAGCCTCATGCAGCAGGGTATTTTGGAGCGGTGATAGTTACTCTCACCACCACCATCATACATCTATTATCGCCCAAGGGGGTAACTCTGAGAGTGTTTGTCAAATGGTCCACTGGCAAGCTTTAGAAAATTCAATTGCTGGCTTTTCGTTCTTTTGCAATTTCAGTTCTAGGATTTGGGCTCGAGTATCATTGATTATGATTAAGGGTGGTCTGTGATCTGTGAATGTAAATGAAGGGGCGAGTCGTAAGATCTTTGATAATTAGTAGCAAGCGTGAATAGTGTAGAAGAAAGGAATTGGAAGAGGGATGGATAGAGATGTACTACTAATAGTAAGGGCTGTCTCGATTCACTGACTTTGACTATTGTTCCATACGCCACTGCCTACTAAGTATAGTGAACAAGCTTGTTTCGTCATTTTATACATTATCAGCGGAGAAGACCATTCAATTGATTCACTATAAAGCTTCGTGTTTCACCTCCAGTAGGCTGCAAGCTGTTCAACCTTTCTTCTGCCATATCATTTTTTCTGTTCTTCCATACTCCCACACTTCCACCCTGCAACTCTGCCGCTCTCTTGATATTCTGATCCTTTCCATATACCAGAGAGCTAGATGTACCTGTCATGGCTGTATCAAATCTCAACGTCCCTCAGACCGGCTGCCAAGCAAGCAGCTTAACACCCAATTACTGATTTAGTGGCTGCCTACAAGCCCGTAATCTTCATTGGGAAGCTATTGACTTATGATTCTCTTCGTGGTGACAGGTGCTACTATTGACGCATTGATGGAACTGACTCGTACGATATCTAAAACATATCCCCTTTACGAATTTCAGCGTGATATTTCAAAAGCTTAGAAACAGACCTCTAAGCAGGTGCAATCCTACCAAAGTATCATCATCATAAATCCTACGTTTCTTTTGACCAAGGTATCCAAGGGGACAAACTTAGGAGAGAGGAAAAGCCTCCCACGAAAGGCGATAACACATATTCACCACTTATCATCCTCCGGCGGTTGCTGACCAAAATCTCAACTGGAGGATTCTTGGCTTTGTTCAGCTTCAGTCATCTTGAATTCCAGGCGACAATCTCTTTCGCTTCGAGGCTCCCCAAAGCTGAG